GCGCCCTCTCACAGTTCAGGAGCCTTGGGAATGCACTGATCACCAGGGGGCAGTTCCTGCATTGAGTGTCTGCCCCTGGCGGTCAGTGTGCATCATAGCAACCAGTTGTTCTGCCATTCAGTCAATTTGCATATCAGCCTTTTATTATATAGGATTGAAAATATCTGGAAGGACACATAATCTTAGTAATGTTATTAAGTGGCTATTTTGTGAGTAGGAATTAGGTCAGAAGGACTCTTTAATTTCCTATCTTCTAGTAGGATTTAGATTTTTAAAAATATATATTTGTATTGATTTCAGAGAGATACATCAATGATGAGAGAGAATCACTGATTGGCTGCCTCCTGCACACCCCCTATTGGGGATTGAGCCCACAAACCCAGCATGTGCCCTGACCAGGAATCAAATCCTGACCTCCTGGTTCATAAGTCGATGCTCAGCCACTGAGCCACACTGGCCGGGTCAAGATTTAGATTTTTAGAAGTATTTAAAATGCATAAAATAAGAAATATGTGTTAAAATAAGTTTTTTGTTTTTCATTTTTTCCAGTTTGTCACTGTATTTAGTAGTTAGATTGATATTCAAATCCAATATTTCTTATGTTTTTGTAATCGCAATGGTAAACTCTTATAAGAAGCTACATTGAAACATGTTTTCAGGAGCAAGTCCCCAGTGCAGCAGTGCTGAAATATGAGTGCAACTGATGGTGAGGGTGAGGGGAGGTCTCTGGAAACCTTCACTTCTTCATGCCTATAATTATTTTTACTACAGACCACACATCATAGCACCAGGCTTCATAAAACCGAAAGATCTCATTCTCTTGCCAACATAAGCAGTGGCTGGTGTCCCAGATCCTTGCCTGACTTATGTTCACTACCTCTCAGGACTTCCATCATGGGGAAAGAATGTGAAGTTTCAAATTATTTTTCTTATTACCATTGTTATTGATAGTTCCTTTGGCACTGAGTTTGGGCAGGGTGTTTTTTGTTTTTTAAATAGGAGTACTGAGCAGTAATCTAGGAAAGTAAATACTGAACCTAGGAGCTCAATGATTCCTTTGGTTCTAGTCCCTCTAGTGGCCATCATGAGGTAGTGCTGGAGACTGTGTCCAAGCACAAGCTTCCTATAGTGACTTAAAGGTAGCTGTTATTTAATGGAACTCTGAAGCATAATCCAGGGTAAGAATATCAGAGTTTGCAAAGATCTCACAGGCGATCCAGGACTTTGCTACTCCAAGTGTGGTCCCTAGGTCAACAGGGACTGCACCTTGGGGGTGGGGGTGGTGGGGGGGACTTGTCAGAAATGCAGAATCTCAGACCTCACCCAGACATCCTGAAGCAGAAGCTGCAGCTGAACCAGATCACCAGGTGACTCGTGTGCACCTTTAAGTTTGAGATTCATTACTCTTGGCTGGTATCTTCCTTTACAAATCAAGGAATTGTAAATAAGACAAATGACATGTGTTGTTTTTCACCAAGGAACCAGTAAAGGGCTGATACAGAAATCAGGGTTCCTAATGGCATTGCCAAGTGAATTTTCTAATATGCCACACTTCTGGCCAGATAACCTGATGTAGCACTTTTTTTAATGCATTTTCTTCACTATGGGCTTAGGAAGCAGATACAGCAAAGTTCAAATCCTAGCTTTACCACTGGCACCTAGTAGGGGATCAATAATGGTGGTTATCCTACTTCCTGTTGTAACTATTGTTTTTTAAGCTATTACACTTATTTTTCAGAGCAGTTTTAGGTTCACAGCAAAACTGAGCATGGAGTTCTCATATACCCCCAGTCCCACACGTACCCACTCCCTCCCCTCTATCAATATCCCCACACATTATCCACGGCGGGATGACTAGCATTTTATTATTGCACTTAACACTTCAAAGTAATATCGCAACAGCCTTTAAAGAACCACACATTCCATCGTGCCTGACTTAAGACTGCTCAGACATATCCTGCTCTGGTCTCGGAATGCTGGTCTGCCCCGGCTGCCAGGGAGGGGTTCATTGGGCTGCTTTACAAAGGGACAGGCTGCAGGGGAGGGTCAAGTCCCGGCCGACCCCGTTTTCTTTCCCCTAGATCAGAGGCGGGAACGGAGCAGTGGGTTCTGAGCGGGCGTCGGGTTAGTAGCTGGGCCGGAACCGAGGCCTTGGATCAGTTCCCAGGATCCCTGCGCAGGAAGCGGGCCGGCATGTGGGATGTCAGGGCGAGGGGTGGCAGGCGGTGCCTGGAACTTGGGCTTCGCTCCCTGGAAGCTCGGTTCCGGTGAGCCGCACAGGAAAGCTGCCGGTTCTGTTTGCACGACAGAAACAGGGCAAGAGACGGGAAGGAAAGCCAGAGGCGGGAGAGCAGAGCGCCTGGGCCTG